ACAAAAGGGGTGATAGGAGCAGATGTGGAGGAGGTGCCACAAGAAATTTAGTAGCAGTGAGTGGGGGTGGAGGTTCCAGAGGAGGTCTAGTAGCAGTTGGGGGAGGAGGTGTTAGAGAAGGTGTAGCAGTACTGGAAGAAGTGGCAAGAGTAGACAAACTCATATTCCTTCTGTGATAGGTGGTCTCAAGGGTACTTAGAATACAGGTCCTTTGAGGTGGTTGACCACCTATACCACTAGTGGTCATCTGCAAACAAAGGAATAAGCAGAAAGAAACAGTGTTGTAAAGGTAAGCCACAAGTTGCAACTACGTCTAAAAACAAGAAATCAAGAGTAAGAGCTATTCCTAATAATAAAAAAATAAAAAACAAAAAGTAGAAGAACTAACAACTAATCTAAAGTTTGCGTACCTACGTTATTAAGTTTCATCAAAAGAACTCACTGTCAAAGATGAACATAAAGTTTCTTCTTCCCCTCTTCATCATCTTGATCCAAATCTTGAGCAACCTCCTCATAAATCCCTATGTTATCCTGTAGTGCAAAATTTTAAGCATTTGTGCTACCCTAAATACAGAGATCTGACACTTTCCTCTTGTTGAATTGATTCTATAAAACAATAAAGCTAAATAGCTTTCTTTGGTTTATTTTTCATAACAACAACCCAATCAACTTTATCCCTAACTTTACTAGGGTATTAAAGGTAATAAACATGTGTAGCTTGGCGTGCCAGAATTAAAGGATCATACAACTCATATCATCTGTTCAATTTGACCTCAGTGATATCATAAGGCATGAGTGTTCGGGTTCCTAAATTTGAAACAATATCAAACCACTAATAGTTGAACAATTACACAATGCAGCTGGCATTACCTGGATATTAAAATTGAATGACTTTGTAAAGTATATTGTAATATCAAATCTCATCATTTGAATGTGTGCTTCCTTCAACAGTGACACCACAATTATATTCTTTTTCCCTTCATACCAGGAACTCGTTTGGAACGTATAACCATTTACATCAATTATCTGCCATGTAGTAACACTACGATTAGGCCCATATGCTAGACCTAATAATCTCTAATACATGATGTATTTGGTTGTATTGTGAACCTATAACAAATATAGATGTGACATTAGTGTAACTTTAAATGCGACGATCATATTTCGCACATACGATTAGAAGTGTTCATTATACGTACATATAATTTGAGCCATGTTGAAAATTCTAGTTCTACCTTCCTGCTTATCAGAGACTCATCTTTCATGTCCAAATCATTGATAAATAATCTGCTCACAATATTATTATTTATATTTTGAATTATTCAATATATAATTACTAACATTCTCAACAATAAATGACACTACATATTGAGTTTGGGGAGCGTGAATCTTATTGTATAAATGGTTGGACTTCATTACAGTTCATTAGGATGTACAATGCAGCTGCCCAAATATTTTTATTTCCTATATATTGTCTGTCATGCCTCCTTGATGCTCGTCTAATATTTGATATATGGATAATTCTGACTGTGGAGCCATGCCACATACAATATGAAGTCTTTGATGGCCTCGATCAAAATAATATGAGAAAAACATTATCATTGCTACAGTAGATATGCTTTGAAATTTGATCCCTCAAGATGTGTTTTATTCTTAATAAATTTTTTTATTTTATTTAAAAACCTACAACAAATAAATTTTACATTGAATGTGGTAGTCTTCTGGTGTTAAATAAAATTCTAGTTGCAATGATTGCATCAGGAAGACATTCCTCTCGAAGAAATATACATCCATCTGTACTACACTGGACCCCTCGTATAGCCTCAAAATATAAATGTATAGGAAGATGCTCCATAAAGTCGTAGAAAGTAGGATAAAATATAGGCTCAAGCTTACATAATAATAGAGTAACACTCACATCAAGATGTCTCCACGAGTCAACGGTTGGTGTCCTCCCACATAACACTCTGAAGAATATACTGACTTCGATAAAGGGATTAAGTATCGGCTTCGACAGTGCATGAAATGCAATGGGTAATAAGCACTGCATAAATATATGACAATCGTGACTCTTCATGCCAAATACCTTACATGTTCCCAAGTTGAAACAATGGATTAAATTTGAAACATAGTTACTGGGAAACTTCAGAGAATTCACCCCTAAATTTGTCCTCTGCTGATCTAGTGTAAGATAGTACATAGGTTTGGTCTTTATTAATTTACCTCCATTTGTCTCCTAAAGCTCTAAGATCTTCCTTTTGCAACACTCTTCATTCTAGTTATCACATTTTCTTTTGTCTTACCTTGGATATCCATCACTGTGTTGAAGATGTTATCAAAAAAAATTTTCTTGACATGCATAACATCGAGATTATGTCTACTAACGGAAGATCCCAGAATATACTAAGCTTCATCCAGTTGTGTGTGACACCAAAATTAGGAAGACGAGTTGAAGCTAGGTCTGGTCTCTCGGTGAACTTTAATATTTCACTAATCATCTCTAATATTTCAACTCCAGTAATCATGGGGGGTGGACTTGATCTCTCAACCCTATTTTTGAAGAATGCATCTCTGTTCCTTCTAAATGGGTGATCACGGTTTAGAAATTTTTGGTAGCAGTTGAACCAGCTGTTTTTCCTATTATGTTTCAGAGTAAATGTCTTCTACATATTAATGTAGTAAAAACAAGGTAATTTCTCGGTTGTGCTCTAGCCATATAGCATCCCAATGGTTGAGAAATCACTACTTTTTCACATAAGAGCCACTCTTAGTTAAAAATTCTACTTTGTAGTAATGTCATATGTAAATACACCTTGTTACCATAATATTTGATGCTCTTCAATCAAAGGCTGCAAGTAGACGTCGATTTTCCCCTTTGAGTTATGTGGACCTAATATGATCAACGTCAGAAATAAAAATGACACGGGGTGAATGCACATATCAGGAGGCAAATTTTATGGCATATTGATCACTGGCCAACATGACTATGCGGTTGCAGCGTGACTGTACAGAGTGAAGCCATCCACACATAATCCAAGTCTAACATTGTGTACTTCAGCTGCAAAATCTGTGTAAGTACGGTCAAAATATTTTCAGGCCTCACCATATGATGGATGACTCATCGAGTTAGCATCAACAGATCCTTTATCGTGCTAAGTCAAGTGAAGGATTGTACGCTTTGAAGCGAACACTCTCTAAAGTCAGGGTATGAGTGGAGAATAAAAGAGACACTTGTATGGAGTATTTTTCTATTTTTATTATTTCTCCCCCTTAATTTATCAGCACCACAAAATCCATAATTCGTCTCGACTGCATCGACCTAGTAATATATAATGTATCCATTAATACATCAATCAATCTCTTAAATTGTAACCCTAACTTTGAAACCAACTATTTCATTCTATACAGGTCATCCGACACTAAATTCCAAGCAGGGTTAGTCTCTTTCAATAAAATCACTACTTGATTGAATGCTTCTTCGGGCATGTTAAAATCATATTTGATGGTTAACATTCTTAGTGTCATTCATAACTCTATATGTGCACTGCAACCATCTCATTAAGGTTGTTGTGCAACATTCAATAAGTCATAGAACTGTTGTGAATTGTTGTTCGATGTTTCAAGATCATGTTGAAGGCTCCCAACAAATTGAGCTCTTTGAGCATCATAACCATTTTTTCATATTTGTTAGGATCAAATTCCATTGCAGGGGGCATAACTTGTAGAGGCTCCTCCTTGATTGAACTAAACTTCAGGTTCTTACTCTCCATGCATAGTCCAGTGCCAATAATTTGGTTTCAATCTCTTATGGTATAGATCCAACTTAACTTCTTTAGGTGACATAAGTGCTTGAATTTTATGCTTCGCACAAAGACACCGACACTCACCCTTAGAACGGTAGATGGGGAGTGGTGATGCCACCAGCGCGAATTCATCAACGTCATTCAAGAACTCATCTGTGAGTTCTTTTCGTCCTGGATATATTCACATCTAAGCTCTCAAATTACAACTATCCATCTGCAGCATAGATGTAGTTTTACAGATCAATGCAGCTACTATGGAAATAAATATTAATTAATCCTTTTTTATCAATATTTACAATGGATGATTATGTTTAGTGGTTCGTGGGAGCTAATTCTAATTGAACAAAAGGAACCTCTTTTAAGTAGCTCGCTTTATCTTGTGAAGGTGACACTGCTTGGCCAACTATATATAACACCATTCTTTATGAATGAGAAAGGACACCAAAGACATTTACAAAGAGAAAGCCAAAAAACCAGGCTGAGAAATTATGAATGAGGAACGACACCAAAGACAGTTACAAATATGGAACATCCCCAATGACGGTTACCAAGGTCAAATAACGTTGAAGTCAGTTTAAATATGTAAAGATGTAATGGTTTATAATTCTATTATAACATTCTCATTAAATTAGGGACAATCATGTAATTCAATAGACTCTTCATATGATCTATAAATAGGATGATTATTTTTACATGATGGACTACTAAATCTAATTCTAGAGAATTTGTTCTGCTTGTTTTTCATTAATCTTATTTTTTTTCTTATTCCTCTCATCCGACCAACGCTCTATTTCTTGAGGGTGACCCGAAAGACATTTTGAAACTCAACAAAATTATCATCGTTTATTTAATATAAAAATGGGAGGTTTTTTTGTATATTATATGATGTTATAAATCACATAGTAAAAATATTGGGTTGATGAGTATCTCTGTCATTCACCTCCTTGACTGCACCATTAGCCATCTGAAATCCCAAGCAGATCTCGAGACATCCCCGGTGCAGTAGTGGGGTACCATTAGGCACACATAAGTTTATTGTAAATGAACTTTGAACCACACAAATTTCATTTGAGGAAACTTTTTCCCCTAATCATAAAGATTTGTGGACTTAGCCGTCGTGGTGATGCATTGAATGGAATAATAATATGAAAATTTTCATTTACATTCTAATAAAACTTAACTAGATATTTGTTCACATATAAAAAATAAATTTTCTTTCTTGTTTACAAACAAACATCTACTTCTTTACAGGCTGCAACGTTTGTTTGATCAAACAAAATGGCAAGAGAAAAAAAAAAAGAGAACATGATGAAGCATAGAACAATAATACTAAAAAGAATCAATTAATCTTCTTAATGGGACGGGCCTCAAATCCTCCCTCCTTCCTCTTCTCAAGCGAGTAGGGCATGTGAGTTCCAAGGATCTTATCCCAAGTGATGAAGAATGGCTGAGAGAAGTTGTATTTGGTGCCATATAGCTGATGGTGGATGTCATGATACGCACTGTTGTTGTTGAAGAAAACATGCAACAGATTTCCGGGAAGCCACAGGCCGCAGTGGTCGTCAACAGTCTTGATGGTGGCGAAGGAGAAGAAGAAGATGGCGGTGCGAGGGTTCATACCTGAAACGAGGAAGGAGAGGGCTCCTCCAATGGTGTCAAGGATGAGCCCTTCGAGTGGGTGATTGTAGAGAGCTCCAAAGGCGTAGGGGACGACGAGGGTGTGGTGCTTGGAGTGGATGTGTTTGTACAAAAACTTGTTGACGTGCATGAATCGGTGCATGAAGTATTGCCATGTGTCCATAACCACCATAGCCACGATGAACTGGAGGATGATGACCGGAATAGAAGGCTGAGGAGGTACCGCGCCGCTCTCGCCGCTCATGGCCTGAATAAGTACATAGATCAAACTAAAATTAGGGAATAATTAAGGAGGTGTAGGCGTTAATTTGGAGATATTAATTGCTTAATTGAGAGTTAGAAGTGAAGATGATAGATACCGTGAAGAGGAGAAGGGAGACGGCGATTTGAAAAGCTTGCTGGACAAGGACTCCCTTCACAACGGTTTTCCTAGAAACAACGTTCTTCTTGTCTTCTTCAGCCTTGGTGTGAAGCCTGTACTGGTTCAAGTCACCAAGCATCACATAGATTCCAGAATATATCCAGTAAACAGCAACGGGCACAAAGGTGCCGAGCAGCTCATCCGAGATGGGAAAACTCATGATTGAACTAAACAGAAGTGGCGATCGTTTGAGCAAACTCAATGAATTCTGTAAAAATGGCACCTTTTGTTTCCCCCTTTGCTTATTCTTCTTTTTCCCCTGTTTCTTCCTCTTCTTCTTCTTAAATTCTTATTCTGCTTGTACTAGTGTTGCAGAGAAGTTGCGGGTTGGGATGAGGGAGGTGGTTTTTCTTGCTTATATAGGAGAAGAGTGAGAGAAATGGTAAACGCGAGAGGGCTTGGTGGTCTACAACGTCAGGCGACGACTGTGAAACTTCAAATCGTCTAAAGCACGGAGAAAGATGGGAGAAATGGATTTAGATTTACCATCCACAGAAAAACACGGCATGAATAAGAAACTAGAGAACAGTTGAACATCCAACGAAGGTTTATGTTTATCTGACTCGTTCGTCCATGGGATTACCACTCGGCACTGACCGTGAAAATTAATGATTTTGAACTTCATTTTTTCATACCCATTCTTAAAATCATGATTTAACTATTTGTTATATTTATCATGAAATTTGGAAAATAAAAATAAATAAATAAATAAATGCCACGTAAGTTAACAAGTATTTAGATCATTTTTTTTATTTAAAGAAAAAAAAAGTTAAATTGACTGAAAAATTGTGATAAAAAATAACATTCAAGTCGTACTCGTATAGCTTCGCTAATTAATTAGTCAAATTAAGACAGTTCAAAAAAGACGACACCTCTATGAGAGGTACAGAATATTATTTTGCGAGAATGTTTAAATTAAGAATATTTCACAAAAAAATATTATAAAAAGTCTACTTAAATATATTTATTATTGATACACCACCAATAAAATTTCATCATCCAACACGAATCTCGAGGCATGACACAAATCTTGAGATCATATTTTAAACAATGAATATTTAAATCTTGATAAAAAGTCATCCAGAGTTCTGATTTCAGCAAACGTATAGTCAAACTGAACTGTTCAATGAGACGGATCTCATGATATGAAAACCAGCCCAATCCAAGTTAAGTCAAGCCCAGATCAAGTCATTAAACCACAGCTAGAAGATTTATGAATACATTTGGAAAGTCAAACGACTGTCAAATATGACAAGTTTATACTCAAATCGAGCAGCTCGACAAGACAAATCCAACGAGCCCAAGATCACTCAATTTTGACATCATTAAGACACTCAAATGTCCATTAAATATTGTATGATCGAGGGAAGCTCTCCGGACCGTCCGATCAAAATGGTTCATATTCTTGCATTAATTACACCCAAAACACTATAAACAGAGTCTCATCTCTCTCATGAGAGGGGAGGAAGTCTAGAGAGTGTCTAAGGTCTTAAAGAAAAGCTGCAGCTCAGAATCACCACCAATCATTGTCGACCACCGCCGACGACCTCTGTCGTCAACCGCCATCAATCACCGACGACCACCGCCGACCTCATACGACCACTGCCGACAGTCGTCAATCTCCAGCTACCGTCATCAATCACCACCAACCAGACGCCGTCAGTCGACATCGTAATATGAAAAATGTAGTTATCATTTCCCGTCTATGGGACAAAAGATTTCTGTAATCATCAATCAATAGTGGATTTTCGCAACTGAGTCAGACCCCATGATTTTTCCTTGACGGGTTTTCCCCATAAAAACTTTTGGAATTACCACCATTTTTTTTTGTTTCATCTGTGTGTGTACTGAACTTTCGTACAATGTTAATACGATAATTTGTTACTCTACCGCCATGAATTTTCTAGCACTCTTCAGTTTGGTGCCGCCTGTGGGAAACGAAGTTCCATTCGACATTGTCTTGAACTCTAAGACACTGAGCCCCTACTTCATTTCCCAATGATGTAGATCATCCAATTAGCAAAGAAATCTTCTTTGCATCTTGAAGATCATCTCTAAAGCATTCTTCAATGTGGGGGGCAATTCTTCACTGCAATCTCGAAAGGTCGTTCACGTCAGCGTCCCAGGCACGATTGTAGTGGGGATGTCTTCTCACATCCTATTCAGACACAAAGTATGTCAACTTCTTCCATGCTTGGGGGCAATTTTTCACTGCAGTCTCGAAAGGTCGTTCATGTCAACGTCTCGGGCACGACTGTGGTGGGAAAGTCATCCCATATTTCATTTAGATTACAAGTCTGCAAAAATTGCTCATGTACTGGGAGGAAATCTTCACCGCAAATAATGCTTCCTCAGCACCCTCATCGTATTGAAGTTCCTCTTCAACCAAATCAGGAAGCTGATCTCTTCAAGGCTCCATACATAAGCTATTTTACAAGCTCACATCGAAAACGCCCCCGCTGAGGGGCAAAAGATTCAAAAGCAACAACTGACAAGTTGTCAAACATTTCTCTTAAGTATGACTGCAAGAAAACATACGATTCATTGCAACCTACATCCCAGTCTCGAGAAACGCAGAACATCTCTGACACCTCATTCTGGGATTAATCGATCCCCGAGGGACTCGATTAGACCTCTTCCATTACATGATACAGTTGTCAAGCAAAGGCTTCGACGTACAGCTTCAGATAGGTCAAAAATCCTTTGTGGATTTCCTTTGACCTCTTCCATACAGGTTATGGTCGTCAAGCAAAAGCTTCGACCAACAACCTAGGATAGGTCAACCATCCTAAGTGAATTTCCTATGACTTTGTTCATTACAGGTTAATACTGTCGAGCATCTCTAGTTACACAACTCAGAACTGATTTTACATCCTCAATGGATTCTCCTTTCAACCATGCCACTGAAAATCAATCCCAGAAAGCAAGACCCGATAAGAAGCTATCATGTCGTTGGAAGACAAGCCCAAGAGAGTCTCCACTGTAAAACCTCAGAAGACTTCGAGCCTTAAAAGAATTTCGTACGATTGAGAAACCACAACAACCGTGGAAGAAGCAAGTAAATGCATTATCATCATCTACAAATGTTATATCTAATTGTTAAAAAAGCTACAAAGGCCAACATATATTTATACAAGAGTTACAACAAATCTGCTCATTTTTTATTAGAGTTGACATCGCCTCCCCAAAGAACAGTACTTATGATGATCTTTAAGGGGTCTTCCGATATCACCACCACATAAGCATGAAAATATTCTCCTCAAAGCGCGACAGCAAAACTATAACATTTCTTCAGCACCTTTAGAACGTGCAAAGGTGGCACGGGAGTCTCCTCTGAAATACACGGCATGAACGAGAAAGAAGATCTCGTTGCTTGCCTTCTACGCAGAACGGGGACGACTTTTCTCTTAACCGCAACACGAAAAAATATCATATTGCTTGTCTACTACGCAGGACGGGGAAGACTTTCCTCTTTGCCGCAACGAGAAAGAAGATCTCGTTGCTTGCCTGCTACGCAAGACGGGGACAACTTTCCTCTTCGCCGCAATGAGAAAGAAGATTTCGTTACTTGCCTGCTACGCAGGACGGGGACGACTTTCCTCTTCGTCGCAATGTCTCGCCGCAACGCTTCACAACAACTCTGCACCGCAACTCTGCACCTCAACACTTTGTCTCAACTCTGCACCGTAATTTTGCATCGTGACTCTGCACCGCAACACGTTGCCTGCACCGCAACACGTTGCCCCACCGTGTCGCGCCGGCATAACGCACCCCTGCGTCGCGCAGCTACAATGGGTTGCCCCACCACACCGCCGCGTCGCAACGGGTTGCCCCGC